AGACATTCATTGAGCACCTGCTGGATGCAGGGCCCTGGTGCCTTAGAGCGGAGTCCCTTAGAGCTTGTCCTCAGGAAGCCAGTGACATCTGCTAGGGTTAGAAGGAGGTGCCTGAGGGCACCAGCATCTTCGAGAATCTGCACCCTCCTGTGGCCTTGCAGTTCCAACAAACCCCTGCCCTTCCTTCTCCCTCTAGGTCCAGAAAAGGAAAACAGTTGATTAACTAACTAGAATGTAAATAAAAATTTGTGGGCGCCCAGGTGGCTCAGCCGGTTGAGCATCTGACTCTCGATTTTGGCTTGGGTCATGAGATCGAGTCCCGCGTCGGGCTTGGTGCTGAGCCTGCTTGGGATTCTCTCTCTCTCTCTCTCTATTCCTCTGCCCCTCTGCCCCATGCACTCTCTCTCTTAAAAAAAAAAGAGGGGGGGCGGGGTGGCACCTGGGTGGCTGTTAACTGTCCAACTGCAGCTCAGGGTGTGATCCCCCAGTTCGTGAGTTTGAGCCCCACACCGGGCTCTGTGCGGACGGATGGGAGCCTGGAGCCTGCTTCAGATTCTGTGTCTCCTTCTCTCTCCGCCCCTCCCCTCCCTCAAAAATGAATAAACATTTTTTAAAAATGTAAACTTTTTTTAAAATAAAAATTTGAAAGAAAAAAGTCAATGTTCATGACTTGTTGAATTTTCCAGTCAGTTTGTCATCCAGAATTGGGTTTCTCGGCCACAGTGCTATTTCCACCTGGGGCCACCAGATCATTCCTTTTTTGTGGGGACTGTCCTGTGTGTTGTAGGGTGTTTAGCAATATCCCTGGTCTCTAAACACTAGGAGCCAGTAGCACCCCCCATCATGACACCCCAGAAAACATCCCCAGACATGGCCCAGTGTCCCCTGAGGGGCAGAGTCGCCTCGGCAGAGAGCCACTGATCTGGAGCAAGGAACGAGCGGCCGTTTTCCAGGGTGCAAGGTGGCGGGACTCGTCCGCAGGGGCGACGCACCGAGACAGCGGGCAGCAAGCGAGAAAACGGCCAAACCCCAACTGTGTGGCGTGGCAGTGCCTCCGTGGGGCCATTTAGTGCTCAGGGCGGGCAGTCTCGGGTATTTGTGCACCGTGGCTTTACGTAACGTTAGTGCTAATGCTGAACCGGGGAGGGAACAGTCGTGTCGATCACACTGTTGACTAAGGTGGGGAAGCGGCGGAAAGGCTCTGTGTTCAGTACGTATTTAGAAAGCAGATGAGGGGCGCCTGGATGGCTTAGTCAGTTAAGCGTCCGACTTTCGCTTGGGTCATGATCTCGCGGTTCGTGGGTTCAAGCCCCGCGTCGGGCTCTGTGCTGACTGCCAGCTCACAGCCTGGAGCCTGTTTCAGTCTGTGACTCCCTCTCTCTCTCTGACCCTCNGCCTGGAGCCTGTTTCAGTCTGTGACTCCCTCTCTCTCTCTGACCCTCCCCTGCTCACGCTGTCTCTCTCTCTCTCCTAGAAATAAATAAAAATACTTAAAAAAAAAATAAAAAAAAAAAAAAAAAAAAAAAAAGAAAGCAGATGCGAAGCCACTCAGGGAGGAGGGGCAGGGAGGGCCGAGAGGGTGCCGGGAGTGATGGACAGGTCTGTTCATTATCTTGATTGTGTTGATGGTTTCATGGGTGTATACGGACGTCAGAAAGGATCAAGTTGTACACTTGAAATAGTGCCGTTTATCGTGTGTCAATTGCATCTCAATTAATCTGCTTTTAAAATGTATTTCATTGTTTGAAGTTTTAGTGCTTGAGAGGCATTATTTTGGAAAACTGACTGACATGCGGCAGCCCCTTCCTTGACTGTGCCAGCTGCATCGGTGGGACTTAAGAGCCATGTAGCAGTTGAGAAGAACGCAGAGAAAAAGAAGGAAACGATCGTGGGCCTCCAGGCTGGCCTAGGGAAGGAGGGAAGGCCAGCGTGAAGTCAGCTAGAGCCTGTCCCCCGGCTCAGAGAAAGCACTGGAGGTTTTCCGTTGGACGGTGCTATCAAGCCAACGTGTTCAGAACCGTATTATCAGGGGCTTGGGGAAATAAAATAACAAACTTGGCTCTGGCTGCCAGGAAGATGAGGCTCCTCCACTAACTTTAATCCCTAAAGCAAACATTGGCTCAGGAGAAAGTAGTTAATACCTGGCGGAGGGCGGGTGCTGGGGGGAAGTGGGGACATGGTACACCAGGGAGCTGGGGGGGGCGGGCAGCTGCGCGGAAAGGCACCAGGGCTCATGCGCCAAGGGGATGCCTGGGGCAGGGCAGGGTCTGCGGGTGCCCAGGGCTGGAGCCTGGTCTCTTGCTGACAGTTTGAGAGACTTTTTAGCCGATGAGACCTCCAAGTGAGGTTCTCAAGAGCCTGTGAGGGAGGCTGGGGAGCGAGCAGAGGACTTGGGGAGGAGGGATTGTGCAGCAGGCGGTTCATTCATTTATTCCTCAGATGGTGACCGAGGACCTGCGGGGGGGCGGGACCTCCTCCAGGGCTCCAGTTGGGGTGAGGGCGGCAGACAGCAGGTAAGTAAGCGGTTATAAGAGAAGTTCAGAGCATCGTTAAGTACTCGCGAACACAGATCATGAAAAGGGTAATGCAGTAGTGCCTAGGGGGTGGTCTGCTGTCCCTGGGTAGTCAGGGAAGGCTTCTTGGAGGAGGTGATATTTGAGCCGAGGCTTAAGAAAGACGCAGTGCTGCAGACATCTGGAGAGAGGGCGTCCCAGGCCAAGGAAACCAGGAGGTGACGGGCCAGAGCATGAGCTCGTGCGCGTGGAAAGCAGACACTTCTTGGTACGCTGGGAGCAGTCAGAGTGGAAGAGACGACAGGGGAGACCAGGCTGGGTCACGAAGCCCAGTGGTGGGCCCGTCAGGGTGGTGAACGGAATTCTCAGAGCACTGGACAGATTTTGGAGAAGTTTGCTAATTCACCCTTTTGAAAGGTCCTCTGACTGCGGAGGGGAGAGAAGACACACACGGGTTCAGAGCGGGAGCCCCGCAGCGGCGCTGCGCAGGAGACACCGGCAGTGACCCTCCCACATCACCTGTGGGCTCGGGGACTGCCCTGGGGAAGTTGAGCGGCTTTCATAACTCAGTACCCCTTGGGGTGTCACTCGTCACCTGGATGGGCCCGCACCTGGCCAGGGCTGCTAGGCCTGGGGTCCCACTTGGGTGGCTTCAGGTGCCTCTTCCTAAACCATACGTGCGTGGGCAGCTTAGCAGGTGACGCGGCAACAAGAGTTTCTTTGGGAAAGGGCGCCTGGGTGACTCGGTCGGTTAAGCGGCCGACCTCGGCTCAGGTCATGATCTCCCAGTTCCTGGGTTCAAGCTCTGCGTTGGGCTCTGTGCTGACAGCTCAGAGCCTGGAGCCTGCTTCACAGTCTGTCTTCTTCTCTCTCTGCCCCTCCCCTGCTCACGCTCTGTCTCTGTCTCTCTCTCAAAAATAAATGAACATTAAAAAAAGAAATTTCTTCGGGTTAACACCGGAAAGTTACAGAGCACTCATTTGCTGATTCTCTGCTGAGTGCTTTATGCTGATCACTTCATTTACTGCCCAGAACAACCCTGAGGCAAAGTATTATTATCCCCATTGTACAGATTAGGAAACCGAGGCCCAGACAGCTTGCTGGGAGTCACAGTGACGAAGAGGTAGTGTAACGGAAAGCCCATACACGTAAACCACTCAGCTGTCTGCTTCCAGAAGAGGGTGAACCGTGGCCGAATCAGAGGCCGGTTCCCTGGAGCGTCGTGATGCAGGCTGCTCGGCTGTGATTCACATCTGGCTCCTTCTTGGACGAGGCCTGCTCGCCTGCATCCTGCCTGTAGTACCCATCGTGGTTTCTGGAATGTGTGTACCGCTGAGCCACTGAGCTGCCCTTCCCCCACACAAACGTTGCAGGAGACCTTCCAGGTTGCCGAGTATTAGTCCAAATTCAGGTCCGAACGCCCCCACCCAGGGAAAGTATGTAACCTCCCAGGTCCCCAGTTTCCTCATCTGTGAAATGGGACCAAAATCTACCCAGCTCAACCGGTGATGCCTGCAGCGTGCTCTGCACAGCATCTGGCCAGACTGTGGCTGCTGGGATTAAGTGGCCTCCCTTTTCTTCCGAAGCAGAAATGCTTTTCTAATGTTTTTTTATTTTTGAGAGAGAGACAGAGTGTGAGCGGGAGAAGGGCAGAGACAGAGGGAGACACAGAATCTGAAGCAGGCTCCAGGCTCCGAGCTGGCAGCACAGAGCCTGACGCGGGGCTCAAACTCATGAACTGTGAGATCGGCCCAAGTCGGACGCTTGACTGACTGAGCCGCCCAGGCGCCCCAGGACTGCTTTCCTGATGCTTCCACATGGGCCGCAAACCAGGCTTTTGGGGATGGAATCTCTGCCCTCAGCACAGTTCTCTTCTGGAGCTGTTAGATTACCTCCTCTCCCCCCGCCCCCGACAGGAGAGCTGCCAGCCTCCTCACATTGCCTCCTGTGCTCAAAGTCTTTTGTGTGGTCTGGTCCCTGTGAGGCCCAAAGGTGCCTTGTACCCATCTTGCAAGTCACCTACTCCTTTGACCTCTTGCTTCTGAGGTCAGAGGTCAGCGGGCAGCTTCTGGACTTGTTCACATCATGACGTGCAGAATATGCGGGCAGCCCACTGGGGCGAGGGGACCAGGCTGATGGAGGCTGGCGGGGCCTGGCCGGCAGGTGCCACCGCACACCCTGATGCCTGCTTGGGGGCTGGGGGCTGTGGAAGCCGTTCCAGGCACACCAGCGGACAGGGCTCTCTAGCTGGCACTCAGCAATCTGGCCACATGGGGGACAGACCGCTGGGTGCCCCTCAGAGACCGCGTCCCAGCGCCAGCCACAGCATGTGCTTTCTGGGCTTTCTCACCAGAGAGTCCTGGTGGGGCTGATCTTCCTGACCTTTGAGTTGTTTAGAGAGAAGAAATAGTTCCAGATAGTATTCTAGGCAAATAGTTCTTCTGGGAAGCAATGGGCACCTTTGTCACTGGCATCGCATCTCTATACATACACATCCCCTTTCTGGGGGAGACACTCCTGCAGCCTCCCCAGTGGTGACTGAGGTTATATTAGGTATACATTCCTCTTCCCAGTTCTTTTTTTGGGGTGGGGAGAGAGAGAGGAAAGGAGAGAGAGGGAGAGAGAATAAGTTGGGGAGGAGCAGAGAAACAGGGAGACACAGAATCCCAAGCAGGCTCCAGGCTCCAGGCTCCGAGCTGTCAGCACAGAGCCCAAGGCAGGACTCGAACCTACGAGCTGCAAGGTCATGACCTGAGCCAAAGTCCAGCACTTAACCCACCGAGCCACCCGGGCGCCCCTCCCTTTCCCAGTTCTTATGCAACCATCAATCCAAAATGATCCAAAGGTCAAGACCGTACAGAAAAACACACGTAAAGCGACCCTACCTCCGCCCCTTCTGTAGAGTCCCCTCCACACCTGAGAACCGAGTTTTATTAGATCTGATTTACCCTTCCAGTATTTTCTTCCTGGAAAAAAAAAAAAAAAAACATACACATTTATCTCTCCTTCTGTATGTATTCTTGTACTCTCTCTCTTTATCCAAAGGTAGCATAACACAGCTTGTTTTTTTACTTAGCGATATGTCCTGGAGAAATTCACATGATAAACAAAACGACAAACCTAATGCACTTCAGAAGGGACATCAGTCTAAAGGGAAGGCTGATGTCGTTTGGCTGAAACCAATGGCCACTTGCAGGGACGTGGGACGGACCAATGAGCGCGGACCTCCGTGCGGGTGTGACATGCCTACGATGGCTGCCTTGTGCAGGGGTGACTCAGGTCTCCTACTATTATTCCGCGTGTGAATGACTGCGATGCTTCTGTTTACACAGCGGGCTGTTACATCACTTGGCCCTCACTCGACTTCAACGCATCATTTACGCATTAAATCCGCCTCTGTTCTCTTCTTGTTAGCCAGCAGCAATTAAAAAGGAGTGCTGGATGCCAACACAATCACAATCACAAAGGCAAACTCGGGCAGTGAAATCCTGTGTCAACAGGAGGCTGTAAGGTGGTCAGGCCGACAGTAATGATGAAAATAATCACGATGGCCAGCATTTACGGAGTACTTGCTCTGTGCTGGCTCCGTGCTACCTGCTTGACAGACAGTCTTTGTCATCTTCCCAACAACCCCGTCCAGGAGGCACTACCCATTTTACAGATGAGAACATTTAGTCTTGGAGGGATTATGTAACTTGCCCCAGGCCACACGTAGAGGAAGTGGTGGAGTCAGAGGTTTGAACCCGTGTCAGGCTGACCCTGGCAACCACTCTGAGGGCTGGTGGTGGGGGCGGGGGCCTTAGTAACCTCTTTGCCGTCAGATCCTGGGCATAACTGCTCGCCTTGGCCAGGCCTTGCTGGGCTGGGAGAAGCAGGCTATATGGGGGCTGGAGGAGAAGGCAAAAGTGGGGGTCCCAGTCCCCCGATGGGACCTGGACTCCCAAGGGACTGTCCCCCTGAAGTTCTGGGCACCAGGCTTGTTATGTGACCCTGCATCTTCTCTCTCAGCACCAAAACGAACACACACACACACACACACACACACACACACACACACATATACACACACACACACGCCAAAAATACCATTTAGAAGAAAACGATCTATGTCTGCGACTATAACAATGACACTTTGTGGGGTCCTGGCCAAAGAAGGACTGAGAGTTCTAAATGTGCCCGCAGAGTTCCAGCAGAGCTGGCCAGCGGCTGGGCAGGGACCGGGCGGCGCTCACGATAAAACGCAGACTCCGTGGCCCTCACCTCCCCGTGGCCTCCCGCGTCCCCCTCCTCCGGCCCTGACTCGCCTTACCTCCTACCCCCCCGCCTGCCACTGTGCGTTTGTTCCTTCCCTGTGCCGGGCCTGCATGCCCTCCTGCAGCCCCGATCCAGGCAGGAGGGCAGTCAGGTGGGCTTGGAGGCAGCCTCCCGCCAGGCTCAGGTCCCGGGTCCTGGGTCCCGGAGCGGGTCTGAGCTTCCCAGGCTTGCTGGCGACAGGCACGGAGAGCTTGATGACGAAGACGATGAAGTCCCCCTCAGTAGCCGTCCCCGGTTCGGTTCTCAAGGATCAGGACAGTCAGGGCGGACCAGGCTGCTGGGGCTGACTCACGCTGAGGCTCCCGTAACGAACGCCTGGGTCCTGTCCGTGTCTGGACGCTCCCACTGTCTGCCCTGAACTCTCCCTCGAAAGGCACCCACAGGCCTGGGGCGGCCGGGAGGGCACCGTCCATGCCCCCCACCCCGTGTGCCTTTCCTCGGGTCCAGGCCTGAGAACACCGACACCCTCTCCTTCCCCCCAACGAGGCCCAACAAAGCCCAGCCCTTTCTGTGAAGCCTCTTACCAAATTATAGGGTCATTTGGCTTCCATTTTCCCTATATCAATGCAATTGCTTGTAAAACAAAGCTGCCCCATCCCTTCGGCCCCAGGTGACGGGCCAGGCACTATGTGACTTCCAGAAATGCTGGTCCCATCCCGGGGTCCCAGTGTGGTCTTCACCTGGCTCGCCGGGACTGGATCTGGGTATTCTGTTACCTGGGTTTGAGCTTCTACTAGAATCCAACCAACCTTTCCTATTTAAAAAACACCTGGCTTCTTGCATTCGCAAAGACACACACACGCAAGCACTATGTGCTCCACCCCTCTTCCTGAGGTCTCATCTCCCAGGTCTCCGCCTGGCTGGTCTGGCTCCAGCACACCGGCCTCCCTGCTGCTTCTCGGTCCCTCCAACAGCGCTCCTACCCCAGGACCTCTGCACTGGCCATTCCATCCTGACTTCTCTTGCACAACGCTCATCTCTCTCAGGACTTTGCTCGACCATCGCCTTCACTGTGTACAATATGTGAACATGCAAATGAACGCTCCCATCCCCTTTCCCTTGCTTCATTTTTCTCCAATGCCCTTTTCACCACTGGACATACTCTATATTCTCCTTAAGGGTTGGTTTGTTGCCTTTCTTCCTTCACTAGATTGTCACGTGGGCGGGATTTTTGTCTGTCTTGCTCGCTGCGTATCCCGTGGCTACAACAGCGCCTGGCATGCAGGAGGCGCTCCATAAGTATCTGGCGAATGAATGGTTTCATTCATCACCGTAGAAAACTTGAATCTACATAAAGGCACCAAGAAGAAAGAGAAGATGCTTAGAATGTCCAGTCCTTCCCACTGAGCTCCCCATCTCTGGAGGCATTTCAGTGGGAACTGAGCATCTGTTTGGTGAGGAGTCACGGACCGTGGAAGTGGGATTCCTATGCTCAGGAAGAGTCTGGAGATCCTGCAAAGGGCTGGCCGCCACTCGGGGCGTTCTCTGCAATCTAGAGGCACTGACCAGCACAGCCCTTGCCCTTGGACCGCCCAGCACTGGGTGGGGAGCCCTCTGACCCAGAAGGCTTGGGAAACAGGGTGGAGTGGAAGCACCCATCAGAGCCAAACAAGACTGTCTCAGGAGGAAATACAAGGGACCTGCAAACGGTGACAAAGGTGGACGCTCACCAGCCTGACCAATCTGAGGTGGGTCAGGCCGTCCCTGCGTCACCAGGCACGCCCCGGCCACCAGCCACAAGGCCTGGAGTTCCGTCATTGGGGGGACTTAAGTTTCGGCTTGTGATGTGCCCTCCCGGGAGGGACGCACGTCATGCCACATGAGGTCTGATTTTGCATGTGGGCCCCGAACGGGTCAGGGCGAGGGCGAGATGTGGGAAGGGGGGCGTTTAGAAGCAGAGGCACTGCCAGGAAAGCAGCCAGCCTGAAAGTGCTGTTCTCCATGACAGGAGCCCCCGGCGTCGAAGAGATCAAAGGCAGCAGCGTGACCTCACGGGTGAACCCCGGTGCCGGGACCGGGAGCCTTATCTGGGGCAGGAAGTGGCTACGAGAAACACGCACAAGGGCGAAACCCCCTCGAGAGCTGCGTAATTTCTCCAAGGCGTCCATCTTCGCAGAAATGGGGCCATTGGGGCACGTCACCCGTGGGGAGCACTGGGGGAACTCCTTGAGGCTTCACTTAGGACGAGACCCCTGGGGGATCACAGGGACGGCAACACACAGCACGCGCGCCCCCACGTCTCTGTCCTCGCCCATGGCAGACATTGCTAATCCATCGCCACACAGCGGGGGAGTCCTCCTGTCTGCCGTGTTCTGGTCACTGGGCATCCATTGGAACCCTCACAGGAGGTAAAAACGTAGTGGCTATCGCTGGTGAAGAGTCACCCCCGAGGGAGGAGCCCAAGAGCTGTCTTCACCACGCCTGCCCTTCTAGGGTCAAGGGTCGAGGGTTCCTCAGATGAGGAAACTGAGACTCAGAGAGGCAGGGACACCTGGCCAAGGTCACGCTGGACATTAGTGGGGAGAAGCGGGTCCAGAGCTCTGCTCTTCACCCAGAAGCTGTCACCTGTGACTGGACAGCTGGTGCAGGAGACAGAGGGCACACGCATGTCCCCACGCCCATGTGATCCCCATGGAAGAAGCCATTCTAGGCCTACATGTCAACAAGTCCAGAATGGGAAATCCCAGGGTGTCTGGGTGGGCCTTCTAAAATTTGGGCTTTCCGGGCTCCCTGAGTTGGTAGGGCTGCGGCGGGGAGATACTGGGAGGCCCAGTGCCCAGACAGTGGCTGCTGGCTGGACATGTCTGTTTGAACATTAGTCCCTGGCCTGTGTTCTGGGAAAACTCCTCAGGATGCTCAGACACAGGCAGCCTGGCCCAGTCCAGGAGACAAGGCCTGCTTGGGGGGGTGCCCATCCTGGGCGGGTCACCCCGGCTCTCTTGGCCTCAGAAGCCTGGTCCATCAACGAGGAAGCTGACCTATGACTTAACTTTGCTAGGTCTCAGTTTCTTCATCCATTAAATGGGGATAATGATACCTCCCTGCTGAGATGTCACAAGAATGGGATGAACTAATTCTATAAAACGCTTGGCCCAACGCCCCACACACGGCAGGTGTCGCAGGTGCCGGAAGAAGGCAGCTGGAACTACCTGAGGACCTTTCCAGCTGTGAGAGCCGAGCCTGTGGCCCACACCTCCCTGTGGCAAACAGGACGCCCCACACTGGCTCTACGGTCACCAGAACTGATATACCTCGGCCAAGCTTGGAGGGTGAGAACAGTGCCCACTGTCTGCGGAGCAGCCCAGAAGTCCTGACTGTGGCCCGTGGTGCCCATGGTCTGTGGCTGCAGACAAAGGGCCCCTTACAGTCATGGAGGGAACTCCCCATGTGGCCGGCAGGGGACTGGGCTGGGGGGCCAGAGAATCTCCTGCTGGGAAACAGGTTCTCAGGAGGGGCCTGTGACTCTGCGCACCCCGGCTTCCCAAGGGCCCTTCCCCAGCGACCTCAGCCCCTGGGTGCCCACGCTCGTCACACAGGTGATGCTGGGGACGGGAACTGTGGTGGCACCGAGTGGGGGAAAGACGAGCCGGCTGTGCCTTCTGTCCAGCCTTTTCAAACAATATGGCTCATACTGTAATTTTATTCATTTTATTAAAGAATTTTTTAAAGGGGCACCTGGGTGGCTCAATCAGGTGAGCCTCTGACTTTGGCTCAGGTCATGATCTCACGGTTGTGGGTTTGAGTCCCATCCCAGGCTCTGTGCTGACAGCTTGGAGCCTGGAGCTGCTTCAGTTTCTGTGTCTCCCTCTCTCTCTGTCCCTCCGCTGCTCATGCTCGGTCTCTGTCTCAAAAATAAATAAACATTAAAAAAATTAAAATTAAAATTAAAAAAATTTTTAAATGTTTATTTATTTTTGAGAGAGAGAGAGAGACAGAGTGCAAGCAGGGGAGGGGCAGAGAGAGAAGGAGACACAGAATCTGAAGCAGCTTCCAGGTTCTGAGCTGTCAGGACAGCCCAGCACAGGGCTCGAACCCATAAACCACGAGATCATGACCTGAGCAGAGGTTGAACACTTAACTGACTGAGCCACCCAGGCGCCCCTGGCCCATACTGTATTTTTAAAAGAAGAAAAAAAGGGGAGCTGGTTATAAAATAGGACATGTAAATAAAGTTCATATACACTCACCGAGAAAGAACTAGAAGAAAATACAGCAACAGGTTGAGGGCAGTTGTCCTAGATGACGGGCTTGAGGCTGGATTTTTATTTTCTTCCCTGTGCCTTTCAACCTTTTTGACTGTGAACACGATTTGCTTTTACCGTCAGAATAGCAATGACAAAATCCTCTGCCTTTACAGCATCCACAGGGTGACCCTTCAGGCCCCCCGCTGTGAGCAGAGGGCAGACTCCTCAATGCACGCCCCCCTCCACCCTGGGCTGGGGACCCTCAGGCAGGGGTGGGGCCAGGTCCAGCCTTCCAAAATGTGAGCCCCTGGTTCTCCGTCCCTTGGGCTGGGGAGACACCCCCCCGCCGCCCCCCCCCCCGCCGTCTTGCTCAGGGACCAGGTCCAGCCCTCCCCCGTCCCCAGGTCCTGAAGGCAGCCGAGGTCCACCAAGCCCGCCATGGTTTTGGCCTCCCCCTCTGCCCCCCCCAAACCGGGGGAGGGGGTGGCGACTCCCTGCCTGCCGGGAACTGGGCCAGGGGGAAGGACATGGTAACCAGCAAGGGTGACGTTACCCCCACTTCCTTTTACCTGCCCCGCTGTGTTTGCTGCTGAGTCAGGGTCCCTTTGGGGACTGACCAGAGGATGTGGCGTGACACAGCAGGATGTGGCGACGCTCTGGGCGGGCCCCCGAGGGCCAGGCACGAAACTCCAAGGAGAAGGCGAGCAGAGACGCCGTGTGCCCCCGCGCACCGCCTCCCGCTGCAACAGTCGGTTCTCGCTCAGCCTTGGCCGCAGGCCCGCTGCCCAGACGCTGACATCTGTGTGCGTCGCCCCGCACGTGCCTGTGCTCCTCGCAGCGGCCGCCCCTGGGCTGGCCGGGCGCCCGCACCCCCGGCCCGCCCTGCCCCACTGCTTCGGCTCCAGAGATCCTGAGCTTCGCAGGTTCTCAGAGCGAGATGCTCTTGGCATTTCCGTTCTTCAGGTAGTTGTCCCATGTGCTGCCCTGGCCCCCCCTTCCAGTAAAAGCCCAATCACTGCGACCGCCTGAAACGTTGCCCCTGCATTTCCACACACCCTGGTGAGCTGCAGCTCTGGCCCTTGGTTGGGAACCTGGGAGCTCACCCTCCAGCCCTCACCCTCCCTGATGGTGGGCTCTGCTCACATGACCCCACTCGCGGCAGGGAGATGAAGGGGAGGTCTTAGGTGAAGAGGTTTTTTTTTTTTTTTTTAGTGTTTATTTACTTATTTTGAGAGAGAGAGTGAGCACTAACAGGAGAGGCGCAGAGAGAGAGAGAATCCCAAGCAGGCTCCACGCTCATAGCACAGAGCGTGACGCAGGCCTCGAACCCACAAACCGTGAGATCAAGACCTGAGCGGAAACCGAGTGGGACACTCGACTGACTGAGCCGCCGGGTGCAGGAGATTTTCTAGAAGGGACAAAGATCCTGTCTGAGCTCCTGAACCAACACCAGCAACCACACACATCTGGGCTTTTCCAGATGAGAAAAACAGAGCCGCCATTTTGTCAGAGGTACTGAGTACTGAGCGTTGGGTCCTCAGTTCCCTGAAGGCTGATGCATTCCTTCCTTCTACGTGTGGGGCAACAGGGAAACACATAT